TAGTCAAATTTTATTACTAATTTTTTTTTTATGAGAGAGAGAGATAGCCCCATATGCTAGGTTGTCCCCAAATGTCCAGGCTGGCTGAAGCTGGGGCTAGGAACTCAATCCAGGTCTTATGTGGGTGACAGGAACCCAGTAATTTGAGCCATCATTGCTGCTTCTCAGATTCTACATTAACAGGAAGCTAAAGTCAGGAGCCAGAGCAAGGTATTGAAACTCAGTATTTGTATGTGGGAAATGGGCATCTTAACTGGTATCCTACTTTCCTATGTATTTTAATCTTTTTGATGTTGTTATAAATGGAATTTTTTCTTAATATTTTGATTATTCATTATTAGTTTATAGAGATAAATATTGAAATTGTATCCTGTAACCTTATGGAACTCATTTAATAGAGGTGTGTGTACATGTCTTTGTGCGTGTGTGAGAGAGAATTTTTAGTCTTTTCTATATGAGATCATACCTTCAGAAAACAGATAATTTTACATCTTCCTTTCCAATCTTGATGCCTGTTGTTTCTTTTTCTTGCCTGATAGTTTTGTCTAGAATTTTTAGTATAATATTGAATATCATAATCTTTGCCTTGTTCTTGATCTTAAAGGGACAACTTTCTGTCTTTTATCCTTATGTATGATGTTAGCTGTGAGTTTTTCGTAGATACCCTTTATCAGGATGAGGAAGTTCCCATCTCTTCACAATTTCTCATATTTTGTAGAATTTTTTGTTTAAATTTTTTATTTATATAAATAAATTTCATGTATCTCAAACATACAATTTTAAGTACATAATGACACTTCCTACCCCATCCTCTCTCTTTCCCTCATTCCCACTCTTCCTCTTGCTTCCTTTGTTATTTTTCTTTTAATTTTTGGAATAATATACTTTTATTCTTGAGAACAAGTTTTATCATTAATTGAGGAAGCACCTAAGGATACAAGGAATGGAGTTGGGCACTTAGGCTTATCTAAAACTTATGAGACATAAGAATATCCTTCACTTAATACGCTAAAACGAAGTAAATCTTTGAGAACAAATTTTACTGTTAACTCTCAATACAACTCTTTGAGGACAGAGATCTTGGATGGGAAGTAAGTGCATAGTGACTCCTGTTGTTAATTTACAATTAACACTCTTATGTATGACGTCAGTGATCACCTGAGGCTCTGGACATGAGCTGCCAAGGCTATAGAAGACTTTTGAATCCATAAACACCTTCAATATTTAGACAAGGCCATAAGCAAAGTGGATATTCTCTTCTCCCTTCAGAGAAAAGTATATCCTTCTTTGATGACCACTTCTTTCCACTGGTGTCTCACCCACAAAGGTCTTTCATGTAGGACACTTTTTGCCTCAGTGTCTTAGCTTTCCATGCATGAAATGCTCTTGTGAGCTTTTCAGCCAGACCAGAATGCCTTAAGGGATGATTTTGAGGTCAGAGTGTTACTTTAAGCAGTTGTCTTTCTCTGAGTCTGCTGTATGGACTGCTTCCCATGTTGTAGTGTTCACACCTCTTTTAATTTTTTTAAAGATTTATTTATTTTATTTGAAAGGCAGACTTATGCAGAGGCAGAGAGAGAGAGAAAGAGAGAAAGGGGTCTTCCATCCACTGGTTCACTTCCCAGATGGACGCAATGGCCTGAGCTCCTCAGATCTGAAGCCAGGAGCCAGAAGCTTCTTCCAAGTCTCCCACGTGGGTGCAGGGGCCCGAGGACTTGGGCCATCTTCTACTGCCTTCCTTGGTCATAGCAGAGAGCTGGATCGGAAGTGGAGCAGCCGGGACTCCAACTGGTGCCCATATGGGATGCTGGCACTGCAGGTGGCAGCTTTACCTGCTACACCACAGCACCAGCTCCTGATTTTCTTAAATCAAGAATTTTGTTTTGATTTTTTTGTTTGAAAGGCAGTGAGAGAGACAGAGTTCTTCCATCCTTTGGTTCATTTCCCATATGCCAATAACAGCTGTGGCTAGGCCAAGCCAAAGCCAGGATCCAGGAACTCAATCTGGATCTCCCATGTGGATGGCAGGGACCCAAGTATTTGTGCCATCACTGCTGCCTCCCCAGTTGTGCATTAGCAAGAAGCTGAAATCAGAAGTGGAGCTAGGACTCAAACCTTGGTACTCTGATATGGGATGCAGGCATCTGAAATGGCATCTTTATTCTATTAATGTGTCTCATTAAATTGACTGCTTTTCATAAGGTTGAATCTGCTTTGCATTTCTGGGAAAAATCTTACCGAGTAATGATATCCTTTTACTGTGCTGGTGAATTTGGTTTGCTATTATTTTGTTAACAAGTTTTGCATCTGTATGAGGGAAATTCACAACATCTATGGTCAAATGAAGTTGCAAAGTAAGCTTATTTTGGTGCAAAAAATTTTTAAATTTATTTGTAACACACCTCTTCCATGAATGTTCTGAACACCCCTCATATATATATATATATATATATATATTTTTTTTTTTTTTTTTTTTGGAAAGTAAAAGTAGCGAAGTTTATTAGGGTAGGGACATCCGCAAGAATGGATGGGCACCTCTCCAGACAGGACCTGAGAGAGAGTGCCATCTCCCTCATATTTCTGAGATGTTGGTCTATAGTTTTATATTTTTACCCTACCTTACCTTTTCTTACCCGTACCTTACCTTTACCCTACCTAGGTACCAAGGAAATACGGGTCTAATAGAATTAATTCAGAAGTGTTCATACCACTTTTACTTAAATGAGCATTGTTTTAAGTGCCCAAGTGTGTGGTAATGTGTTATATAACAATGTAAAACTAACATGAAGGTACTTCAAAAGTTAGTGAAAATGAATTAAAAGATGAGTCTTTTGGCACAAAAACATTTTGAAATCCAGGCATGCTTTTTTCATAGTGTTTGTTTCCATAAACTTTTTGAAAACCCTCATATAACAGAGAAAAACAACCATGAATTAGGTGCCTTCTGATGGAAAAATAGACCATCACCTCTGAAGCAGTCTTGCAGAAAACAGTAGCCTAAATCGGATCAGTTCTCTAGTCTAGATCCAACTATCAATGTACAGGAAATAAGGAATGTGTTAAATTAGGTCAGGGGATTACAGTCAGCAATATTCAGATATATAAAATATTCCAGGCAGGAAAACATAAACCACACTCATAATTTAATGTAATTTATAATATAATTTTATGTAAGGAATGGGTTGCATAGGTATTGAAGAGCAAAGAAGAAAAAACTGAAATAACATGGAGAAATAACCGCAGGAAGAAATTTCCACATCTAGGGCTTGTTGAACTGTTTTTACCTCTCAGATAAATAAATCTTCTAGACATTATTAAATATGATATTATATCTGGAATTTGCCTCAAAGTAGTGTGGGAGGAAGTGAAGTGGAAGCCATATTTATTTGTTTATTTTTAAAGATTTATTTATTTATTTGAAAGTCAGAGTTACACAGAGAGAGGAGAGGCAAAGAGAGAGAGAGAGAGGTCTTCCATCCGATGGTTCACTCCCCAATTGGCCACAATGGCCGGAGCTGCACTGATCCAAAGCCAGGAGCCAGGAGCTTCTTCTGGGTCTCCCATGTGGGTGCAGGGGCCCGAGGACTTGGGCCATCTTCCACTGCTTTCCTAGGCCATTGCAGAGAGCTGGATTGGAAGTGGAGCAGCCAGGTCTCGAACCGGGGCCCATATGGGATGCCAGCGCTTCAGGCCTGGGCTTCAACCCAATGCACCACAGCACCGGCCCCGTGGAAGCCATATTTAGAAGATAAGATTGACCATGTATTGATGGTTGTTAGAACTGGTAAATGGACATATGGTGTTTACTTTTCTATTTTTATGTATGTCCAGAATTTTCCATAATAGAAATTTGATTAAGATGGACCAAAAATCCACTTATAAATGTTTTAACCTCTTAAATTCACAATATTTTCCTTTGCTTGATCATATTCTGTTGAAAAAATAATTTACAAGCATTGTTGCATTTTGGTAATATTGTTGAAAATTAATGACATTTACTTTTGATGCCATAATTTTAGTTTTAGAAATGACTTGAACATGCATATAAAGACATTTATACGTAGATTTTTCATTGCAGCAACAAGAAAGATTTGGAAATAATTTAAACATGCATCAATAAGTAGGGGGAATGAGTTTTATGAATTATGGTGTAATTGTACTATGGAAAACTACTCAGTTATTAGAGAATAAAACCATTCTATATGTAGTAATATGGAATGATCTTCAAGTAAAAAAGCAAAGTACAAACTAGTCTTTACAGTATACCATCATTTGTGGTCCCCAAAGATACATTGTACAAGTACTTGAATTTATCTAGATATCTTAGAAAAGATAGGCTAGAACTCGAATAAACGAGGCTGGGGCTGTGGCTCAGCAGGTTAACGCCCTGCCCTGAAGCGCCGGCATTGCATATAGGCTCCGGTTCTAGTCCCAGCTGCTCCTCTTCCAATCCAGCTCTCTGCAGTGGTCTGAGGTAGCAGTAGAAGATGGCCCAAGTTCTCGGGACCCCTGCACCCACATGGGAAACCTGGAAGAAGCTCCTGGCTCCTGGCTTCAGATTGGCACAGCTGTGGCCAATTGGGGAGTGAACCATCGGATGGAAGACCTCTCTCTCTCTCTCTCTCTCTCTCTCTCTCTTTCTCTTTCTCTTTGCATCTTCTCTCTGTGTAACTCTGACTTTCAAATAAAAGTAAATAAATCTTAAACAAAAAAAAGAAACTTGAATAATAGTGACCCCAGAGGCAGGAAACTAGATGACTGAAGGTTCAAATGTGGGAAGAAGACTCCCTTTTTCCCTGAAAGAATAATAAATACGAGAGCACAGATGAATGACTGGTTTAGGCTGAAAATGGGAAAGACTTTAAAGAACAAAGAAAAAAGCCTAACATTACTTTTATCTAACAAAATAGTTAACTTATTAATGAGTGAATATAATATTGCTATAAGAGATTTAAAATGATTATACTTAAAACTGTAAATATTTGGATTTTTTTTTTTAGGTGGTGATAGTGGACTGGATGGGTTAGGAGGACCAGGTGTACAGCTAGGAAGCCCAGATAAGAAAAAACGCAAGGCAAATGCACAGGTAAGTTCACATTTTCTTAAGTGACAGTTTTTCTATTTAGTACAGCAGTACTATTAGTCTCATGAGGTAATTTGTGTGGATTTTGTTTCCTATACTCATTCAGAACTTGATTCTGAATTATGAGATGATCGTATTTTTTTTTGGGGGGGGGGGCTGTGACTGCAACCAGGGCCTGTTAGCCTAAAGTAGAAATTATAAGAAATAAATATGGACAGATGAATTAAAATGCTTCTTCATAAATCTAATTTAAAGGTTTTAAAAATGATAAATGCCTGTCATTTTACTAAAATATCTTAAAATATATGGAAACAATTTTTACCTGAAGTGATATTCAGCTATTATAGTAATTCAGTATTATCTGTGTATCATGAAGCAGTCATTAATGAAGCCATCCTTTGCTGTAGTCTGTGATGGTAGTAAACAATTATTTATACAGACTTCCACGGTTTTATTCTCTATAAATTTGAAGCACTTTTTTTTTTTTGGTAAAGGCGTCAGATAAGTATTTTTGTATTCAGATTGCTTTTTCCTCCCTTTAGGCAGTATCTGTCAGAACTTGCAGTTGACTAAAACTGGTGGTTTATTTTCCATTCTGAGGCCTAGAGCTTAGTGTTTTGGGGATGATCTAATATGTCTCCCTGAAAAAATTTATACTATTTGTGTATATAAATGGTATTTTTGGTAAAATGCTTTAATATTTTAAATGAAAGAGTCTAGAGTTACAGGTAAGCTATATTAAATGAAAATTATGATGGTGAAGTTTCTTTTGAAAGTTAAATACTTTGAGGGTTTGAGGTAACAGTGGACTTGATCTCATAAAGTCATTTTATTTCCTTTCCTAAGTGAACAAAACCTACATATTTTATCATCAGGTATAATTAAATGTAAACATTAATTATAATTGAAAGGTTAAGTAGAGAAATTAAAATTTCCAGACACTATGAGAGAAATTTGACTAAAGCCAGATTTGTAGATATTGAGGTAACAGAACAATTTAAATGACTTCTTTGATCTAAAACCTGTGTTTTGCTTTACATTCTCATTTCAGGGACCTTCTTTTCCTCCATTATCTGAATATGCTCCACCACCGAATCCAAACTCTGACCATCTAGTGGCTGCTAATCCATTTGACGATAATTATAATACTATTTCCTATAAACCACTACCTTCATCAAATCCTTACCTTGGCCCTGGTTATCCTGGCTTTGGAGGCTATAGCACATTCAGAATGCCACCTCACGTTCCCCCGAGAATGTCTTCCCCATACTGTGGTCCTTACTCACTCAGGAATCAGCCACACCCATTTCCTCAGAATCCTTTGGGCATGGGTTTTAATCGACCTCATGCTTTTAACTTCGGGCCACATGATAACTCGAGTTTTGGAAATCCTTCTTATAATAATGTACTAAGTCAGAATGTTAACATGCCTAATCAACACTTTAGGCAAAACCCTGCTGAAAACTTTAGTCAGATTCCTCCACAGAATGCTAGCCAAGTATCTAACCCTGATTTGGCATCTAATTTTGTCCCTGGGAATAATTCAAATTTTTCTTCTCCATTAGAATCTAATCATTCTTTTATTCCTCCCCCAAATACTTTTGGTCAAGCAAAAGTACCTCCCCCAAAACAAGACTTTAGTCAAGGAACAACCAAAAACGCAAATCAAAATTCCTCTGCTCATCCACCTCATTTAAATATGGATGACACAGTGAATCAGAGTAACATTGAATTAAAAAATGTTAATCGAAACAATGCAGTAAATCAAGAGAACAGCCGTTCAAGTAGCACTGAAGCTTCAAACAACAGCCATGCAAATGGGACACAGAATAAGCCACGACAACCTAGAGGTGCAGCAGATGCATGCACCACTGAAAAAAGCAATAAATCTTCGCTCCACCCAAGCCGTCATGGCCATTCGTCTTCCGACCCAGTGTATCCTTGTGGAATTTGTACAAATGAAGTGAATGATGATCAGGATGCCATCTTATGTGAGGCCTCTTGTCAGAAATGGTTTCATCGGATCTGTACTGGAATGACTGAAACTGCTTATGGCCTCCTAACTGCAGAAGCATCAGCAGTATGGGGCTGTGATACCTGTATGGCTGACAAGGATGTCCAGTTAATGCGCACCAGAGAAACTTTTGGTCCACCAGCAGTGGGCAGTGATGCATAATTGGAGGTGTTAGCTGAAGTGTTTTTTTTCTCCTGTGTGTTACAGAGATTCAGTAACACAGGATGTTAATGTTTTACGTTGTTTTCTAAAAATGCACATGCAAGAAAGTTATTTACCTTTTAGTTTTTATTAATAGTCCACCTCACTCTAGTGCAAATTTTGTATTTGTTTGCTATCTTAAGTGAGAATAATGTATATGGGGGCGCTTTAGAAACATTTATAAATAAATGTTAGTTGTTATTATTTATCATAAACATAAAAGCCTCTTGAAGCTTCAAAATAATATATAACAAATGTAGGCAAGTTTAACTTTTAAAAGTTAGAATCTTGAAAAATGTATAGTTTAGAGCTAAACTTCGCTATACCATATTAAACATTTGGTTCAAGGATCCATTTAACATATTTTCAGAACATTATATATGTAGCTATAACATGGGGAAAACATGCCTTTTAATTAATTTTTTTAAAAAACAGAGTGCAACACCAAATTCTTCCTCCAATGGGGTCTTTGAAATTAGTGAAGTCTGTTTTTTAAGCCAGTCTTTCCCTTTTCTGTTTGTACAGATACAAGACAAATCTTAGCAGATAGTGGATTCTTAGTATTGGTTGATGAACTTGGATTGTACCACATGAAATTGCTAATATTGGATTTGTTGAAAACTGACTGCAATTAGTAACATTGATATAAAGTGTGCTTCCAATTGTGCTATTTAGAATTATGTTAGTGTTTATACTCTTAATTTTCTTTGATTATTGAATTGTTTTGTGATGGTTTATTGTTTTACAGAGAAATAAATAATTTAGCATCTTCAGAAGAATTATGAATGCTTTTTTCAAAATATGATTTTAAACTTGGACAGATTACGAATGAAGACAATAGAAATAACAATTTTGCCTTAGAGGGCTCTGTTAGCAAAAGGATTTCTCAGTGGTGGTTTGAAAAAATCTTTTCTGGAGATCAGAATTTTAAAAATGAACCTCAGGGAAGATCAAAATCCATTTTAAACAAAGGTCAATTAAAAACCAAAATGAAAACTGACTCACAAACAACAATTTGTGACCTTGCAGCAGACCTAGAAGTTTCTGCTGTGACTGGGAAAGTGTAAAAATGGGCCTAAGAGTACCCTCTAAAGAGAAAAGAATGGAGACAATTGGAGGCTTGCTCATTATGATGCAGAACAACAGAAACATATTAGTAGAGCAGATCACAGCCTGTGAAACCTCCTCCAAATACTGTATGACAGTTGATAGCAATTTATACAATGATTGGATGTTAGTAAAGCTACTAAATAATGTACAATGTTTTCATTGTGACCAGAAAGTTTCTGAAGACTGATCTGCAAAAGGCATAATTAATTACTACTATTTAAACTTGAAACAATGATAGCATCAGTATATTGTCAAGAACTTAAATTATGCATGGAAAAAAGTTAATTGAAAAGCAGTGTCCTTTGGTTAAGCAAGAACCCACGGTTGTACAGGACAAGACCTGACCTCATATATCACAAGCCACTAAAATGAAGGTATTGACTTGGGCTATGAAATTTTGTCACGTCCATCCTACTTACTGGACTGCATCTTTTTGACCATTTGGAACTTTTTCTTCTAAGAAACAACACATTCCCAAACTGAAAAGAAGTAACTGGAGAATCTCAGCAATTTATGCAGAAAAACAAATGGTGAGTTTTGTAAAAGTTAAGTGTTTAATATCCTCTTGGAGGAAAACTGTTAATGCTCCTGACCCATATGTTGATTGAATAAAGCTTATTTTTTAAGTGTTCTAATTTTGACCTATAAAACAGAAATTTCATATGGTACAAGGTAATGTGAGCTTTTGTCATTTGCCCTTAACTAGTTACAGATGAGTACAAAATATTTTCAGTAATTGTAAAACATGTATAGTTATAATTTTAGGAAATGAAGTGATGTAAACTTCAATACTAGGTAACTTCTTTGTGTGAAAGTTTTACCAGTTGAAGCGGGTTAAAATATTGTTGGCTCTGACATTTGGTGGTGTTCAGTAGCATATCTGAAGATCCTGTTTTGCTCACCTTGTAAGTTTTGAGAGATACATAATTTTCTAGATGTTTAAGGACTTGATTATGTTTTCATTGGATTTCTCATGTGTGTTGATTTTTAGGAAATGATCCACTCACGGCATGCTGTGTGCCCATTCCTAGCATCAGATCGTGATTTCTTGTAACTGAATAGAGCTAGATAGGTATTCTGAGTAGAACTTCCCAGGGTTCTCAAGAGTTAACGCTTTACATGGTAGTACTTGAGTTGTGCTCATTGCTAAGACTGATTATGCAGCTTCTTAAAACCTTTTTTGATTATAGTTTCATTGGTTAGCTGTTTTTGTGAAAATGAAATAACCTCTCCCAAGCAAATCTAAAGATACTTGATTTGTAATGTGATTCATTGATTTTCTATTTTTGAGTAGTTGTTTTTAAAAACTTAACAGGTGAATTTTTATTCAAGTGTTCAGCTCTTCAAAACATCTTCCTCAAATAAGACCATGTAAATATTCAAAAGAAAAACTTGTGGTTGATTCTGACAGTGAAATCAGCTAAACTATAATCATAGCTGATTAATGTTTTCATGTGTTTGAATTAATTTTCTTCTAGGTTACACATTTGTCTCCATATAACACTGAAAAGTTACATGGATGCTTTATATAGTAAAGGGATGAACTCCAGGAATGGTCAGATTATAATCTGTCCAACTTGATCCAAAGATGGTTATTATACAGATTGATAAGGCTTTCATATGACAAATGATGAGCTGTCCTCAGCTTTAAAAATACATAATGATGGAAAGAAATACAGGTATAATCGTACTTTTGGGGATATAATCCTTTTCCTTCACTGAAAGGCCTTGTCTCCCATACACACATATATACAAAGACACACACATACAAATGAATAGGAAATATTGGAGTTTCCCCTACATTCTCAAGTTTTCTGACGTTCAGCCTGACTGTCAGCATCTAGGCTCACTCTTCAGAATCGGGTTGCTGACAGAAAGCTTTAAAGCATCTCTTCCTTTCTCAGAACTTGATTTGCTGATTCACTAGAGAACTCCTAGTCCACATGGTTCTAGATGTTACTGGATTCACAGATACTGAAACAGCTTAGCTTGTAATACAAAATAAATTGTTTTTCAAATAGAGTGCTTAGAATTAGATTTGTGGTCAGTGTTTTCCTCTGCGTGAGATACTGTCAAGTACTGCTATTATTCTTATTATTCAAATTAGACAGTTATATATATGAAACTGAAGATTTTATTGTACTGAGGCTTGTTCATCATAGATAAACACAATGTGAAGATCCATGTTTTTGATGGATTTTTAAAGACTCCCAACTTAGTCTGTGGCAGGAATAAACCTCTTAATAGTATGGCTCATCATGATATCGGCTGACTTTAGTCATCCAAATAAAATAGATGTCAAGAGTCTTTATCTAATATTCTTTGAGTCTTGTTTATCTTGAACAAATTAGAGTGTTAGTACTTATTATCCAACATACTGTAGTAATTGTATTTAATAGTAAGAAAATAGATAAGCAATGATTTTTTGGAAGGGTATTCTAAAATTTTTTTATGGTGTATAGAAGTTTCATATGCATGAGCATTTGTGCTATTTTAGATTTCTTTTCATTAAAAAAGTTGAAAAGCATCCAGATTCCCAAAGTTCACTTGTAAATAGTGACTTAGAACTCAAGATAAAATGATTAGATTATTAGGGAAGTTCATAAAAGCTTATTTAAACCATAAATGTAGTTAAATGTTAGGCTCATACTGAGGTATCAGTTTTATTTAGGGAACCAATCAAATGTAAGAGAAAGAAGCAGAGGTCTTTCCTTATTAGTAATATGATCAGAAGGTTAAGTTCTTCGGAATGGGTTGTCTCCCACTATCCTCTTACTATCCTAAATTCTCTGGTAGAATGCTGTATAGGCAGGCTTGCCCTTCTCTCTTTTGGATACTGTGTGCATCAAAATTTCTTGTCTTTCCTCTCTGATCAGAAATACTGTTTCTTTGTGTGGCAGTGGTTGGCTGGAATTTAAGAGAAAAGCATTCTACATTATGATATGAATGAAGATAGTGGAGAAAGTGACATTAAATTTCTTTTTCAAGAATATATTCAGAATGAATCCTTAATATATAACATTTCAGACAACATGACCATATTTCAGGCACCACAGGAAGCAGTATTTTAGCAAATTAGGTTGGTTTTATTTTAAGAATACTTCCAATTTCCTGTAAATTGTTATGACTTCTCACAGCTTCTTGTCCTCAAACTGAGGTTTTGTTTTTTATTTCCAAATTTTAGTAATGTCTCTTTTTCTGTTTATCCAGTGGAAGAGTATAAAATTTATATCCACATCTTACAACTCTTAATGGTAGAAGGGTGGGAGTTTGGAAACACTCCTGAAGGAAGGGCACTGGGGATAGCTTTAATATCTCCTAAGACAAGCGGCCTAGGGGAAATGAAAGGAAGAAAGTGGCTGTGTGTGTATGCCAGGCATTAATACGTCAGAGCTTACCTGCATTTAAGTAAAACTTCTAGTGAAACCTGATGGATAAGCTTCATCTTTGTCATATTTTATCAGAAATACATTACTTGGAATTAGATTAAAAGTTACGCTAAATGCTTGTACCTTTCTTGTTCTGTAGATGTGTAGATGATGTTGCTTGTTAGTTAAAATATTATCTTTTATAAAAGAAAGTCCTGCTTCTTATCATGATGTATGTGACTTAAATGATTGTTTCATATTAAAACTATTTCTTCCTTATGTACTGTTTACATATACCTCTTTTTGGGATATTAGTTCAGTACTTTTATACAAATCTGAGTGTGTTCCACATTGGTGACATGTATTTTTGCAGTAATTTTTTGTTTTGTTCTTAGAGCATGTCTAGAGTAATACATGCACTAGTGCTGTGGTTTGTGGCAAAATTACTGTAATTCAAATTGGAAAATAAAATGTTTCCAGACGTTGTCCAACATTTATTCCTATGGCAAGTGAAATTACTATGTAATACTAATTATTTCTTATGATGGTATGTTTTAAGCTACTCTATGAAGTATATGAAACATCAATATTTGTGGATTAGTAGATGTTCTGATGTCTTTGAAATGTGAGAGAGAGGTAAAATTTGGTGTTAGCAATTCATGACACTAATAATACAGTAAATACTTCTTAAAATTTTGATCTTTCACTTACAGATATAATTTACTAAAGAATTAAATGACAGTTCATTTTAGGACTTTTGGTTTTTTTGGCCCATTCTACTACAGTTATATAATAGACTTTGAACTTAGTTCATAGTTCCCTGCCAAAAATATTCACTCCACTATCACCAAAATAAATATTAATAATGGTCTTCATTTATTAAGATGCCATAAAGCTCCTGTATTTTATTTGGAATTTGTAAGTTGATACAATGACTTAAAAGTTGTTGACTTTGTACTCTGATGAAAGAATTTTAAAATAAAAGTAATAATCAAGATTTTTTAAATGTTTGATCTTAAAGATAAAATTTTAAGCTTTTTGTCTTGGAGGCGTTTATTAACAGTATCAGTTGAGCAGTCTTATATTGCCATTGAAACAAGTACCTAAAATAATTATAATAGTACTTGACCAATGCAAATTTATATATTTGAAATTACATGCTTGAAAGATAAAAAATGAATGCTTGTGAGTGCTAAAACTGCATATCTTTATAAAATATTCAAATGTTTAGACTCACCAGTTCAAACTATCTTGAATTAACAAGGTCTTACTATATCAGTGACTATATTACAAAATAAATGACTTCCTATGTTATGTTAATGATCTCTGTAATGCATTACATTTAGCATGGTTGTGGTATATTTTGTACTTTGATTGTTGACTCTTGATAGGATTGATATAGCAATAAATCTGATTCAATCAATATTTTTTGGAAATGCCAGATACCATACTGTGTCATAATCCCATTATAATAGACTTAAATGCCCAATCTTTTTCATATTTTTTATGTCAGAATTTAGTATTACATGTTAGGGGTTTATTTTTGTGTGATATTTTCACATATAATGTTTTAGAAGTGGGTATGTTTCAATTTAAATCATAGAGATTTAAAGAAGTATTAGTATTAAATGACTCATGAATTGCATTGTGGAAAATTTTAAATAAATTATGAAATTAGATACTAGATCACTCCAAATTGTTTATATTTTTATATGGTTAATATACAGTTTACAGAAACATAAAATTGGCTTGATGACTAATTGAATATGGTAAATAATGGATAGTTTGCTTAAAGCCTTCCAAATATTACACCAATTATATCCTCAATTCTGAATTACCTTGTAACAGTTAGTATATATAATGGTAAGCCAATTTTTTGAGGTATTTAACTCTTTAAATCTTCCCTCTCTGATCCCATTCCCTTCTTCCCTAAACACCATGCTAGAATTTAAAATTAGAGTTTAATTTGTCTTCCACATTTTAGTTTTTTATTATGTAAATAAGTAATAAAGACAGGTAGTGGTTCTGCTGTCAAGACAGTCCATGTTGTTGGCCATTCTTTTCAGGGATAATGTTAATGTCATTTGTGCATCATACAAGGAGTGTCACTCTATAGACCTATACTGTTAGTAGAAATACTGTGTTGCAGGCTTTCTTGAATAATATGTATTGTAAGTTTGTTTCCTATAGTGTTATTATGCTTCAGATTCTTTTAAATAAAGCTAGTTTTTAAAGAGAAAAACTGTTTTTTAAAGTGTTTGACTTTCATTAGGACAAGTAGGTATAAGAATCTTGGCTTTAGATGGTAGATGTGCAAAAGATTAAGCAGGATGATAGCATGCAATCTATCAGAAATTTAATTTAGGGGCCGGCGCCGTGCTCACTTGATTAATCCTCCACCTGCAGCGCTGGCATCCCATATGGGCACTGGGTTCTAGTCCTGGCTGCTCCTCTTCCAGTCCAGCTCTCTGCTGTGGCCCAGGAGGGCAGTGGAGGATGGCCCAAGTGCTTGGGCCCCTGCACTCACATGGGAGACCAGGTGGAAACACCTGGCTCCTGGCTTCGGATTGGCGCAGCGCCAGCCATAGCGGCCATTTAGGGGGTGAACCAATGGAAGGAAGACCTTTCTCTCTCTCTCTCTCTCTCACTGTCTAACTCTATCTGTCAAACAAACAAACAAAAAAAGGTTTTATTGGGGCTGGCGCTGTGGCATAATGGGTAAAGCTGCTTCCTGCAGTGCCGGCATCCCATATGGGCACCAGTTCGAGTCCTGGCTGCTCCATTTCCAGTCCAGCTCTCTGCTATGGCCTGGAAAAGCAGTAGAGGATGGCCCAACTCCTTGGGCCCCTGCACCTACGTGGGAGACCCAGGAGATCCTGGCAGTTGCAACCATCTGGGGAGTGAACCAGCAGATGAAAGACCTCTTTCTGTCTCTCCTCTCTGTGTGTAACTCTAACTTTCAAATAAATAAATAAATCTTAAAAAAATTTCAAAAGATTTATTTATTTGAAAGAGTTACAAGGAAAGACGGAGAGAGAGAGATCTTCCATCCACATGTTCACTCCCCAAATGACCTCAATGTCTGGAGCTGCGCCGATCTGAAGCCAGGAGGCAGGAACTTCTTCCAGGTCTCCCATGCAGGTTAGGGGCCCAAGGACTTGGGCCATCTGCTGCTGTTTTCCAATATGCTGTAGCAGGGAACTGGATTGGAAGTGGAACAGATAGGACATGAACCAGTGCCCACATGGGATGCCAGCATCACAGGTGATGACTTTACCTGCTACACCATAACGTCAACCCCAGAAATTTGATTTTATATTGAGGAGAGAACCAATATTTTTGGTCAGGACTTTATAAAAACTTTTTTCTGTTGAGTTTATATGTAACACTCATTTCCTGGGCTTCCTTATACTATAAGCATGGGACAGATATTTAACACAGGGTTACAACACCAGTTGGATACTTGCATCCCATATTGGAACTGCTGGGTCTTAGTCACAGTTCTGCTCCCAATTTCAGCTTTCTGTTTATTTGTGCTCTGGGAAGGCAGCAGGTAAGTGGCTAAGTCCCTGCCACCCACATGGAAGACCTGGATTGAGTTCCTGATGCCTGGCCCAGTTTGAGCTGTTGTAAGCATTTGGGGAGTGAATCAGTGATTGGGAGATCTCCCTGTCTCTTACTTTCCAAAAAAAAAAATTCTTTTGAAAGAAATAGGATAGGCCGGTGCTGCGGCTCAACAGCATAATCCTCCGCCTTGCGGCGCCGGCACACCAGGTTCTAGTCCCGGTCAGGGCGCTGGATTCTGTCCCGGTTGCCCCTCTTCCAGGCCAGCTCTCTGCTGTGGCCAGGGAGTGCAGTGGAGGATGGCCCAGGTGCTTGGGCCCTGCACCCCATGGGAGACCAGGAGAAGCACCTGGCTCCTGGCTTCGGATCAGCGCGGTGCACCGGCCGCAGCGCGCCAGCCGTGGCAGCCATTGGAGGGTGAACCAACGGCAAAAGGAAGACCTTTCTCTCTCTCTCTCTCTCTCTCTCTCTCTCACTGTCCACTCTGCCTGTCAAAAAGAAAAAAAAATTAAAAAAAAAAAGAAATAGGATAACATACTTGTGTTTTGATTTTTAACAAATTGAGATTTGATTTCTGTTAATACAGAAAATTAATTGGAGAAGTCTACAATCTTAGCAGCCAAACTGCCCCTAAGAGGCAATGTTTTGTAGCAACAAGAAGAATAGACTTGCTTGAATAATAAAATTAGATTCACAGAAGACCTGCAAAGTATGTTTGAAATAACTATCAGATGACTTGAGTCTGTTTCATGAAAAAAAAATACTAAATGTGGCATGGCATGTCAGTTGATGCGAGGTTAGAATTACAGATAATGGACATGACAAGATATATCAAGATGAAATTTGAATGTGTGAAACTAATGGAAGGGGAAAAACAAAATGTGTACCTTAGCTGCTGTAGGAGATGGAAGAGATACAGATTTCTAATCAAATTTTATTACGAATAGATGCTATAAATAGTGATAAAATGAAAAGATAAAGTTGATTCCAATGCCAAGATAAATATAAGGAAAAGAAATATAGAAAGAAAGTGTGAGCCATGCTAACGCAGAAGCCTGACTGACTTAGTTCAAAAGAAAAAGTTCGCAGTCAAAAGTTCTAATCTGGGCAATGACATTTAAACATTTCAAAATGCAAAAGATGCAGTAACTTTGCTGAGAGAAAAATACAGCTTTAGGGTTTTTGTTTGTTTGTTTGTTTTTTGACAGGCAGAGTGGACAGTGAGAGAGAGACAGAGAGAAAGGTCTTCCTTTTTGCAGTTGGTTCACCCTCCAATGGCCGCCACGGCTGGCGCGATGCGGCCGGTGCACCGCGCTGATCTGATGGCAGAAGCCAGGTGCTTCTCCTGGTCTCCCATGGGGTGCAGGGCCCAAGCACTTGGGCCATCCTCCACTGCACTCCCAGGCCACAGCAGAGAGCTGGCCTGGAAGAGGGACAACCGGGAAAGAATCCGGCGCCCCAACCGGGACTAGAACCTGGTGTGCCGGCGCCGCTAGGTGGAGGATTAGCCCATTGAGCCGCGGCGCAGGCCAACTTTAGGTTATTTTTAACTCCAAATACAATAAACTTAAATACCAATCTCAAGAGAATAAGAAAAGAACAAGAAACTAAAGAAAGCAGAAGGAAGGAAATAATAAAGAAAATAATAGGAAATAAAATACAAAAAAGCTGAGAGGAATAATAAAGCCATAAGTGGGTGACTTTAAAGGTTAATAAAATTGGTGTGCATCTGGTGGGACTGCCTTTGTAAAATGGTAGGCACAAATATCGAGGATGAAAGGTAGCAAATAACAGCAGTGTTTGAAGCCAGGTATGGAGCTGGATTTCTTGTCACTGCTGTATTGCTTGTGAAAACAGGCTAAAAAACAAAGCCCCACGGTCAGCATGGCATAGTGAGCTGCTATGTGCATTGCTGGGATCCCTTAGGGGAACTCCAATTCATGCAGCCCTCTGCTAATGCACCTGGGAAAGCAATGGAAGATGTTTCAAGTACTTGGATCCCTGCCAGCCACGTGGGAGACCTAGATGGAGTTCCTGGCTCCTGCTTTCTGCCAGCCAGATTCTTGAGCCCAACTGGGGAGTGAACCAGCAATGGAAGGTCTCTGTCTCTTTGTCACTCTGCCTTTCAACTAAATAAATATATCTCTATGAAAAGAAAAGATGAGCCCAGAAGAAAGGGAAGGAGGGAGGGAGGAAGGAAGGGAGAGAGGAGGGAAGGGAGAGAGGAGGGAAGGAAAATAACGAAAGAAAGGAGGGAGAGAAAAATAAAGAACACTAAGTCAGAATTTCATGTAGGAAAAACAGCTAAGTGGCATCTTTTGAAAGTTTATCCCACTCAAGATGAAAATAATACAAAAGCCTGAGACTCTAAGATAAGTGTATTTAGGATCTTGAAAGGCAGTATGAACAATAAAGGTAGAAATTATGAAGCCCTGATAGTCATCCATTCAACACTTGTCTTCAGCGTGTCAGCTAGTGCTCTAGATGCTAAAACCATAGGAATAAATCGACAAAAATCTCTGCTTTCAGATAAGAAAGTATATAGTATGAAGAAATAAAGGAAACAGGAGTAGACAGTGTTGGAGTTGGTAGGAGAGGACATGTAAATAAGTTCATGATTTTTCATAGTTTAATAAAAAGACATGTAAATAAATACTTGAAGGAGTAAGGAAGACATTCATGGATATAACTGGAGAAACAAAATCCAGAGAGAGGTAAATTGCAGGTTTAATTTTTGCAGGATGAGAGAGAGACACATATACACCTTAAACTTGTTCCTGAGTTCTTGCCTCCATGAGGGCAAGAATTCAAGGAGGAGGGCCGGCACCGTGGCTCACTTGGTTAATCCTCCACCTGCGG